ATTTCCCATAATGCCCTATGTGAGTACACTGCCCATAATGCCATTGGGTACACTTCCCATAATGCCCTCTGTGAGTACACTTCCCATAATGCCATTGGGTACATTTCCCATAATGCCCTATGTGAGTACACTGCCCATAATGCCATTGGGTACAATTCCCATAATACCCTCTGTGAGTACACTTCCCATAATGCCCTGAGGTCCTTGCTGCTGACAGAGCCCTAACTCAGGTGTTTCTAAGGCACAGCTCACAGAGGCCTATCAGAAGGCTGCTCTCTTCCTCCTCTGCTCTGGAGTAAAAGGCCACTTGCTCTTAATGGATTCAGCATCTGGAGGGTCGTGGAGGCTCAGGGGTCGAATCAGAGTGCTGCTGGATATCTGGGAGTAGAGTCCAGATGAAGATTAACGTATAAAATCAGGAGTGTTCACCGTTTCTCCCATCTTGTTAGTCATATGAAGAGTAACGTGTGAGTTCAAAGGGCAGTATTCATCATTTCAGGAGGCGAGAAGGGGACGTTCTCAGATATTTTCATCCCGCACTCATGAGACGCTAAAGAGGATAATAGCAATTCCCTTTTCATTTACGGGTGACATTTTGCTAACATATGGCTGCGATGGTAATGATGTATGTGTAAATAATGTAATGAGACTTATAACCTTGGGCAGTATTTATGGGATGACGCCATACTCTCATGATGGAGCGGGTCGCTTTCATTTTCTGGATGCACCTTTCACAAGGCCAGTAAAGAACTTGATTTGTACAGGTTTGCATAGTCATTTTGGTAACCCGGACAGTGAAGGTTTTGTGCTATATGATAAGGAATTTAAGTGCTGTACTTTGTTGAAGAGCATATGGATGGTCCTTTTCCACCTGTATTCAGGGTCTGTACTGTTGGACTTTTTCCCTTCTTTGAACAGTTGGTCTGATCCATATTTTCCATCCATATCCATTCTCCCTTCTCCGCTTTTATGGCAAATGTGGCCTTCTGGTAAGAGATCAATTTCCCGTGTTAAATCCTGGGGATCGTAGAGCTGCTCTATTCTGCATAGCTGCTGTTTTCTTAGGTTTTCTGGTGCTTCCTACCTCATCCCTTCTAAGGGATTCATCCTTAAAAATGTGGACTGTATCTCATTTATGCTGTAAGCGATGACATGAATAATTTACCCTTTCAAGGACCTATAGTAGAGAAATTCAGAACAGGAAGCGAAAAAAATGGTTTCAACTTTCAGGTTCTGTACTTAAAGCTGCTGAACATTGGGTCAAGATTTTATTGAAATTTTTACTACTGAAGGCAGGATACCATAGGCATTGTATGGTGTGATTGTGATAAGGAGAGAGTAGTGAATCTGTAATTCATAACACAATGGATCCTTTGAGGGAGCTGAAGCGAATCTGCCCGTAGGCCCATTCCAACGAAGCATTTTCTTTCTTTTCCTCTCTGCCTTCATCTCCTCTGGCGTCTCCCTCCTCGCTCTGGGAGCTGAAACGTGAGGGCAGCCTGACCCGGTTTGTCAGCCACCCTGGGCAATGAGGTGGCACCACGGTGCAGCCTAGCCGAATGCATGCCGTGGTAGTTTCCGTACTTCTGCATCAGTGTTTCTTCCGGGGGGGGGGGATGTGGGGTGGTTCTCCACTTCCCCACGTTCCCCACGTTCCCCTTGAAGTAGGAAGGAAAAGGCATTGCATGTGGACTAGGACACCTTGCAGGATTGTAGTTAGAAATACATCTCAGTCCAGCCGCCCAACCCATGGGGGGCCTCTAGGTCCCATGGGGGGCCGCTTGGTAGACTGGGTCTGGTCCCCAAATGGTGGGGGTCTCCCTAGATTTTGCTTCCCAGGGCCTGAAGCAAATTTCAAGGAGGTCCAAACTTATCCTATGTGCCTAATCAGTAACAAATAAATTGTAGAGTCATCATGTGGTCAAATGAATGAAGCCGTATGCAGACACAGAAAGCTTAGCAAGGCACTATGTCAATTAACTGCCACCTTTGGCTCAGACAAACATCCAAGTTCATACCTACTCTCAGAGACACATTTAGATGTGTTTAATAGTGTTTATTTTGACAGAAATCTTTGGCAATTTTAACTATGTGTTGTAAAAATATAACCTTTGAAATTCACTGTAATTTTGTTATCCTCTGACACCCAATCATGTTCTGTCATGTGCAAGTTCACTCACCTAATCTGTGAAGTTTACCAGCGTATAATCAATGGCTGGCCTGAAGATCCATAATTCATGCTTGAAACCTACCCCAGGACAGCTTGGCTGAGCCTCTGAGCACATTCTCAGTTCCGGCAATTTGGCCTGTTCGGGTTCTTGGTGCCTCGGTCCCAGGGGCTGTGGACACTGCAAACACCGTGTACCGCGCTGCAGAGTCTTACCTTCGCCCATTCGCATTCCATCGGGAGCTAATCTTGCTATGCTTGATCAACCCATTGTGCAAAGTACCTCCACTGCTGGGACATTTACTCAACTCCCTGTGGCAGTGCTAAACTTATCCATGCCACAGTGAGGAACAGGTACTTAGTGCCTGCTGGTTCAGATTCGAAGAACCCGTCTTTCCCTTTAGCGCTCCTGCTAAATAACTACTATATAAATAAGGGGGAGGTCGATTTTAACTCCCTTTGCATGGCAGCGTCTGCTAAGCAGCCAAATATACAACCGAATTCTGGACACGTATCTGTCATTAGCAGAGCTGCCAGCACAGCTTCCGGTAGCATGTTTGGTGGCTAAGGCCGCCTTTGTCCCGCACCCGTGGATTGATGGATGCCTTTTGTATGCCGTCCATGTTCTGCAGGCTCAGGGCCACTTTGTTAACCTGAACTAACTGCTACAGTAACTGAGTTATTGTTTCCATGGTCAAGGTGAAAGTGATGATTCTGCCAAACGCAGACTCTGCCAGGGACTTTGGATTTGCCCATAATTTCATTACGCTATCCAAGAATGGTGAAGCTCCCTCATAAATGAGGGCAATAATACAGTCATATTTATGTGTGGCCATCAAAATTGCACCGTCTTCAGTTTTGTTTTGACTTTTTCTGCTCATGGCCGACACATCGTGGATGCTTATTTGAGCTCCATGCTAAGCTGCTGTCACCAGGCTCTCGATTTATGAGGGAGCACTTCTGGCAGACCTTGTACATTATGGTCAAATATGACAAAGGTGGCCCTAATTCAGGTGGCTGATATCTGGCCTTTGGGGTCTTTCTATGGCCCCTTCCTTGTCTGTCTGTTGCCTGTACCCATTGCTCAGACTCAGAGAAAGGTTTCCAAATCCTGCATAAAAATATACTGTTTATAGAAATACTTCACAAAGCTCACAACTATGTCAAGAGTAAACGCATTCTAGGGGCTAACGATATGTCTATTCTCTCCCTATTTGTGCTGGTCTTCTATTCCAAAATGTGGTTTAGGCAAATATCTGAAAATAAATATAGAGTTACTGTACCAAGTTCCAGGATTTCCATTTATGGAAATTCACTCATTGTTCAATATATTAGACATTTTTATGGTAAAATTGAAAAGCCATCTGTCAGTCTGATTGAGAAATATGGACATGCTGCAGAAATGAGGTAATATATCATTGTTTCATGAAAAAAATAAGCAGAAAATAAGACTAAAGTACAATAAAGGGTTTTAGTAAAGCTGGTGAAGTGAAGCTGGCTGATGCTGCTCTAACATTGCCTACACATCCATACCTGGTACACCTAGGCTATTGGTATCTGCACAATATGTCATTGGTTCCTAGTACACCTAGGCTATTGGTATCTACACAATATGTCATTGGTTCCTAGTACACCTAGGTTATTGGTATCTGCACAATATGTCATTGGTTCCTAGTACACCTAGGCTATTGGCATCTACACAATATGTCATTGGTTCCTGGTACACCTAGGCTATTCTGGTGTTTGCTGTAGATTTTTCTCGACCTTGTGTACATGAAAACTCTTGCTGATGTTAGAAGAAGGTGATGAATCTCCATATTGTCCCATGTGTATCACTCTTTCCATCTCTGTCATTTTGCTTTTGGCCTCATGCTGAGCTTTTCACTTCAGTGTTAAAATTACTGGAGAATCTGTGTCACTGTTATTTTTTATCTTGGCTTTTCCATGATAAAGAACTCCACCGAGAAGCCTCCCTCAGTTCTACAAATAAGCATGTAAATTTCACGGGTTTTAGCAACAGATCTGATGCAAATGTGTTCACATATAAATCCCAGTGTTTACACTGTAGCTGCTGTGGCTAAATCCCAGGGCAGCTCGGGTCTTCAAAGCCCCTTCCCTCACCCCCTCAGCAGCCTCTTGCCTCCAGAGATGCTCAAAGTCCCCCCCTTGCTTGAGATGCACACATGTAAGGCATCTCTGGTCCACACCCTCCAACACTCCCCCACATTTGGCTGCTCTGTTCCTGGTGGCCATTCTGTCTTCGGATAGGACAGCATTTGGGGTCTTAGGGGAAGTACAGGACGCGAGTATTGGATTCAATCTTGCACTTCTGCACGGTAAAACTTGGGTTCTGCTCGCTCTGCGAGGTCTCAAAGACACCGCCGCCTCGGAAAGACACAGGGGCTGGGTAATAAACACATACCTTCGCAAATGAATGGCTCTTCGCAATAAGGAAAAGGTATTTAATGCCTAATGTCATATTTGCTAATGGCTTTACAAATGTGGAAATGCCCCAAAAAATTCTGCTTAGAGGGTTTGCAGCTAGAAAGATGTGACTACACTCCAGAGATGTTCACAAGTGTTTGACATTGTACAGCACTTTGGTCAGTTTTCACTGTTTAAATGTGCTATATAAATTAAACTTACTTACTTACTTACTTACAAGTCAGTTCCAAGTCAAGTCTCAAGTCTTTGTACTCGAGTCCA